TGGAGAAGAGCAAATATATAGTTCTGTGCTTAAAAATTCTTGCTGCTACCAGAATATAAAATCTGGTAGTAGTAATAATAATAATGACATGACAATAATACACCAGACAGGAGATAAGAAGAAGGAAACCTCTTTCCCACCACAGCCACAATTGCGGAATATCCTTCAGACAATTGAGATCTGTTTCCGTAACCACAAAAGTACGTGTACGTACAGAGATGGAAGAAGAAGGCAGGAGATAAAGTGCAAACCTGTTCAGCCAGAAAGATATTGAGTGCAGAAAAAAGCACATGAGCATATCATTTATATAATAGTTTATTTAATTAGTTATTATAAAACTTGTTCCATCTTGTGCTCGCTGTTACAGTGCTGCATTTTCTGCCGCACTGTTTAGTGTCACCATGTTGAATACAAAATTAATTTGATATTTAAGTACAGAAATCTGCCTCTTGAACTTCCTTGCAGGAAGATTAGTGTTCATTTTTAATTATTCCCCCAAACTTTTTGAATCTGAAGGATTGTCCCCACTTTTTGAATCAGTGGAAACTGTTTAAAGGGTTAAAAATCTATCTTTCTGCAATGATGGTTTAATTATTAAGCATGGATTAAGGGATGAGGGAGGAAGAATCACTCACGGTTTTATTAGTTTCACTCCTTCTGTTACAAGCGTTTTTTAAATAAATGATAGGGTTAGACATTAGCAATAACAACATGTGAAGTCCACTGAGTCATCTGAGATCAAAACCTTAATTACAGTCTATTGTAAACTGTTGCACAGTGCATTTAATACATCCCCAGCCGAATCTTTAATTCAAAAAACTTCCAAGCAGAGATTTAACTGTATGAACAAAAGTGCTACTATGCATGGGGGCCTTAAAAGGGAAAAATATCTTATCTTGTCTGACTAACGCTTGTCCATGTTATGCAATGTACACAAATAAAGGGAAAGACACTTCTTGAGCACTGTGGCATATTTAGGGTATGAGTTCATAGAACTGTAAATCAATCTGCAATATGAAATCAATGGAAAACCCCATGTTTGCTTCAACGGGCAAGTAACAAGGGTTTTCATGAAAGTGCTGCTTCTATATTACGTGTACACAGCTCTCAGGAAAAGCATCTGTAGTTTAAATACTGCTTTAAGCCACTTAGAAGGGTCTTGCAAATCAACGGGTTTATTCTCCAATGCTAGTGTAATTAAATGGAAGCATTTTTTATCCATGAAGTACGAGTTTGTCAGCTTCTCTTATTCCTGATTGTGAGATGTATTAATATAGAAAAGTATGAAGAATAAAAGCAATTTACTCCACAGCAAACATACAATTCTATATTTAATTAGAATCCACTGCACAGATAGAGGGTAAAGATCCATAGATTAAAAGTTGAACATGACCCAGGAGTACCAAGCTATTCCTGCCTTGAAGGTATATATGAGAGGAGGTAATGAACTTAAAGTGTACAAAGGGATAAGCATTAATAAAATCTCCTCTTGGTAAAGCTAGTGATGGGCTGCTTTGGAAAGAATCCCTTCACCGACTCTTTCTATTGTGGTCAGTAAATAAAGTTTCCTTGTTTGTACTTTCAGGGCTCTTCACCTGTCACCTTTCAGTAAATACTGAAATGACAGCTCTGATAGCCAGTCAACCAGTACTGCCAGGCTCCACTGAGCATGGGACGTTCTTTAGAATAAGAATCCTTTTTACCTTCTCTCGTGTTATTTCTCACATTCCGAGTAAACACTGTCAAGCGTTAATCACTAAAAAAGCCTGTGCTGCAATGCCTATCCTTTACAAGCAAGACAACAAGCAAAAGCTTGCAAGTGTGATTGAACTTCTTCTCCTCATCCATATACATTGAAATAGGCTATTTTATATTTTAATCCTAATTTCTCCAGAGAAAGGACTATCTTTTTGTAATCTGTTCAGGCCAGCTCACAGGATCAGAATGAGACTGGGGAAATGGGGCTGCAGCTGGAGGTTGATGGTGAGCAGTGAAATATCTGTCTGGAGACTGGGAGTCAAGACATGGAGGAAAAGTCTGAGTGGAGAGAAGAAAACAACTACCAGCATCCCTGTCATCCACCTCCCAAAGCAGGAGTGTGTGGAGGAGCAGGGAGGTCACATTGACCAAACAAAAGCACTGAGGAAGGAGAGGAGACAGGAACTGGCTGTACCCGGAGACACAGAGGAACCAACGTGCTTGTGAGGAGGAAACAGTTCTGACAAGAAACTGGGAAAGACCCCTGTGCAAGGAGGCCAGAGCAGAATGTAAAAATAGGAAAGAGGAGGCAGGTGTCTCAAAATGGGACTTGGGATATTTTGTTTTCTTAAAAAACCAACCAACCAACCAAACAATCAAAAAATTATTAAGTCTACCAAACCCAGCAATCAAGGGCCAGGAAATGTTTGACCTAAGATTGTCCCCAGAATCTCAGTGGGGCCTCCTTCAGTGTATGAGTTATAATACAGCCATATATGACTAAGCTTTGAATTTCCAGCATTGCAACTTAACCACTTCTGATTTAGCTTGGTGTCACTTTGCCTTATGTGGGAAACACACTTACATAAACCAAACAGTACCCTCAAGAAACTAAATCATCTGTCCTGCATATTAAATAAAAACAACAGCAATGATAGTACACATCCTGCCTTGAATTTTACAGAAAATCTTTGAAGTGACATATAATTAGACTGAAAAATTTGCTTCAGTGAGATTATAGAGACAGATGAGTCTAATACAATCACAACTGAGAAGATTGGAAGAAATTCTAAAATAAAAGCATTTAGGAAGCATATTGTCATCAGTGTAAATGTAGGAAGGAACATCCCTCTTTCCTTGTAGCACAGTATGTCTGACAAACAGTAGACATCACCCTTGGTCATTGGAAAGGAGAGGTCAAAACATCATAGATGAGTATGGCAGGGCTTTGGGTCCATCAGGAGGGTAGAACTGGGGATTCAAAAAAATCCTACTCTGTCAGCTCAGGGCACATAGAGACCAGCTGGAAACACAGATCCCCTGAGCTGAACCATGCAACAGCAGTTTGGTTTTGTGTGTTTTTTTTTTCCCTAAGGGCATCTAAAGCTTGTAGGCAAAACAAGCCCATCCGAAGAGCATGCCAGCTTCTCTCAGTTACTCTAGCGTTTTAGCTGTTTTTTCCTTTGAGTTTTCCGTAGTTGCTGTTCATTGCCAAGCCTGTTATTTCACACAAAAACCTCTTCTGCCATCTTAATCTTGTGCACTGTAGGTTTGTTCCAGCAAAATCTTAACTTTCTGCTAGTGATATTTTATTTCAGGAGTTGAGGCATATTCTCCATCATCACTCTAATCTATAGCTACAGCTGGGAAAGATGTTCTCCTCTGGGAAGTAATTCACACACCGAAAAGTTCACATTTGGTTTCATGCCTTGCTATTTATCTGTTTCAACTCCTGCAGAGCAAATCCCCAGCCACACATTAGGAATGAAACCAGCCACCACCATTTTCCACAGGAAGACACGGAATAAGTCTCACATCCCTCACACAAGACTAACTCAACATATAAACTGCAAGGTCCAAATCCTGAAAAATCTTTTCAAATTGTCCCAGTACCTTTCAGATGTATGGACAAATGCACATGTCATGTAGATATGGAGTAAAAAATGCTCATTATTCAGCAATGGGAGGAGGGTAAGTAGAAATATCTAATCTGCAGCCTCCAGCACTTTTTATTTGAGTGACAGAACTGCTCTATGAATAGGAGGTTAGAGACCAAAACCTCACCTCACGTACATCACAGTAAATTGAAATTAGTGGAGCTATGTCTATTTGTACCAGCCAAAGGTCCTGAGCAGAGATAATGACTTTGAGTGTCTAGCTTTACATGATATTAAATTTACTATATTTTTTTCAAAGTCAAAAGAATTGCACAACTGTAAAACTAGTGTAATAAGCAGGACTCTCTTTTTTTGCTACGCTTTTTACCTACAAAGCTTCTGATAAAAATCACTTTCATGTGACAATGCTGATGTCCTGTAGAAGTTATTTCGTGTGGTGGGAATTTGTCCTATTGCAGGACAAATCATGAAGAGACAGAACCTGTG